TCTCTGTATCCTGATGTTGACATTACTGCAGTAATCCGAGGAGTATCAGCGCACATATTCATCGGATACAAGTCTGCCCAATGAGTATCGTCGATTTTCTGAAAATCTGTACATTGTGGGAAGCATATGTTGCAACTTGAAAAATAGGGCTATCACAAAGATGCTGTGGCAACACACTTTGTCTGAAGTCTCACCATCTTGCTCACCAGGTAGGAACGGTACCTTTACCGCATGAGACCCATGCCCTAAGTTAGCCAGTAGCAGTTTATTCTCCACTGAGCAAGTAGACTGCATGACCTGATAAGCCAGCTAGCCAGCGTTTGCAATGAAAATAAAACCTTGACAAATGAAACAGTGTGGGCGAAAATTACGGTAGCAAGGGAACTACTAGATTGTCCCAGAAATTCGTGCACATTTTTTGAATCACGCGCCTGAAGCTTCTTTATTGAATGAGCAACCCGGTCATGAAGGCAATGTAGGGTACATTGCATAACATAAGGTAACCAATGTCCTAATCTGGACTGCATAAGGTGCGGTTTTCCTGCACAAGATGTCAGATGAAAATCTTCACCTTCGCCAATGCTACAATTAAAATAGGATATTTTACGAAACGTATAGTTGCAGTATAATATTTATTATGATCTACAGCGAACAAGTACCAAGATAGGCTTAGCTTCCGAGGATGCTCGGTCTCTCACCATCCATGATCATACCTGATGTTTTCGGGCCGTTGAACCTGCATGCAGGCGAGATATCGATCTGTATCTACTCGACGATATCGAGCACCTTTTTATGGCGCCAGCCACTGGCGGGAAAAGTCAACGCAAGCCAACCCGGCAAGGTTGTCCTCCAGTTTGCTGAAGGAGGGGTATGCGCCATGTAGGTCGTAACGCTGACCTTTTGTTGACATGATGGAATGTACAGCGCGAGTAGCCCTGTTTATTAGTAAACGTTCAACAAGCTCAGTAACAATTAGAACGATTTTCAAATTTTTAGTTTCTAAGGAGATTAACCAGTCTGTTCTTGGACATCCTAGCGCGAGAGCGTGGCGTGGTGGGCTTTTCTCTTGCTTCCGGAGACTTCTTTCGTCTCCAGTTTACTGTTCTCTCGTTCGTTGTGTGACTCTCCTTATACTGCTGCGTCAAAGGAGGTATCGTATGTTCAGAAATCGATTGGGTGGGAAGGGAGTGTACTTGGTACTAATTCGCTGTAGATCATAATAAATACTATACTGCAACTATACGTTTCGCATAATATTCTATTATAATCCACAGCTCATAAGTATCAAGATAGGCTCGTTCAAATCAGCTTAGAATTGAATTCTGATACGAATCTCTTTTAGTATCACGACGGTAGAAGTCTCGAAAGGTAGAGGACCCAGGAGCTCAAGCTACAGCGCTCATTATTATCTCTAGCGACAGTCCCTGTTTGTATGCTTCGGAAGTGCTAGCTGAGCGTGTGGGATGAGCAGCGGACCCGTCGCCCACATTAGCTTCAACCAAAATCATTTTGATCCACCAAGCTACGGTGGCCGACGAAATTGGTTTGTGAGGTGAAGCATACGAAAGCAGCAGTAAATGCTCCTCACCGCGGGATTTCTCTGTCGCTACGAGGTATTGCTCTAATTTCCTGACGGGACAAAGGAGATCGTTAGCTGCGTATGCTTCGTACACTGCTGACTGAGGGAGACAGAATTTCCTGTTTTTATTTCGGTGTCTGTAAACAACACCCATCGATGAGCGCTTCTTTTAGGCTCTGCAAGGAGAAGGAAGCGATCTCAGATACCCGTTTGGACGAGCATCACGTTAATAAAATAGTTTGAGAATGAGCTGCTTTGAGGGTAACCGCAGATTTGGACCAAGGTTCGTGATGTATTAGGTCGTTAAGAAAGTTCTTGCGCTTATCGGTGTTTCGTTTTTGAATGCTTTATTTTGTCACAAATTCAACTAAGCTGCCAATGAGCTGCATGTGGTTTTGAAGAGCTTCTCTTGTTCTATCTAACAGCTAGGCTGGCTATGCTTCTTACCAGAAACTGATAACGATTGATAAGGGCCGATAAGGCGCGCCAGAACGCTGAAGTCGTCGATTCCGTTGCCTTGCTCGCGTTGACACCAGAGCAACCATACTTACAAGGGTTATGTGCGGTGGGACGGAGACATTGTTGGTGGGTGTCAGAAACTGATAACGATTGATAAGAGCCGATAAGGCGCTCCAGAACGCAAAAGTCGTCAACTTCGTTACGCAGCGTTGACTCTAGAGCGTTCGTAATTACAAATTGTAGTAAGTCGTAGTAGTACAAACAAAGGTACATGCACAATATTTCGATATATCCAGCTTACGTAATAGCAGTTGATTGCATAAATTCAATCAAGTCTTTAGCAAATGATAACTTTCATTTCTATCACGAAAGCCCAGACTCATTAAACCGCTAATCCTTTCATGGTTCTCAGTAATGGTGAAAGTAAATAAATGATAAGCCTTAGCTCCTCACTTATGTAAATAGGCATATTTCGTTTCAACTCTGAGATTGACAGTAATCCTATTCAGTGCTAATTTATCTTAATTCAAGAAAAATGCTGGATATTTACAGAGTTGTGGTCAATATACCAGTTCAGCTCAGACGTTATCACGCGTATTCCCGGTGAGCTTCAGTGAAACTGTGGAGGGTCTAACACAGTCAAGAGTGAGATGGTTAATGGAGTATCTCATGCTGATATTCCATGGGCCCTCCAAGTTCGCTGAAGCCTGCCGTGTGATGCGCACGATAGCGAACGAAGCAAAACTGGTGCTTCTTATCATTCAGTTGTCATTTTTTGAAGCCTTGAATAAAGCATACTCCAAGAGCAAATTTGCATGATTTCCTTTTTCTAGCTCAAAGCAGGCCAGTACGAAGAGACAGGTCAAAATATTATAGAAGCACTTGGCTGAGATTCGCAATAAATATGGTTTGAAGCAATTGTTCGAGAAGCTTTTGTAGGAATAGCGATAGCTCCAAAGACTGTGAGGCTGATGATCGGAGATTGGACAGCGCCAACGATTAGTCGAAAGTTCTGGTTGAAGCACGTTTGCACAAACCTATTGAGAAGGTTCTTTCCAAACTGATCGCACTTGCATTGTATTTTCTTGTTGTACGGGAAGACCTGGAGAGTCTCGAAATTTCAAAATGAGCCTGCCGCGAAGCTCACCATTTTAAAGCGTCGTTCGCCGCGTTCTAGCTTGTTTCATGCCATGAAAACGACCCGACTTTTCGATTACTTGCCACGCATGAGAAAGAGTGGATTCTTTGCTACAAGATACAAACCTCTGGTGAAGTGATCGACCGCGATCAGGCTCTACAAACTTTGCAAAAGTGAAACTTCACTAAAGAAAGGTTGAGGTAACTTTCATAAGGTGAGCGGCTGGTCTAGCTCTTCGGAACCAGGCGAAACCAGGTGGATCTGGTAATGTGAAAAAAGTACTCCTGATAATGTGTCAAACTGCCTTAGAACTCTAGCACATATGCTCGAAATTCTTCATTATAAAAGAACCAGCTCCTCCCTGACAGGTAGCTCGGACGCACATTCCGCAACCAACCCTGCAGAAGTTGGACAAAATTGGCAACGAATTAGTCCTGCAAACATCCTTTTTGGTAGACATTTTGCTCATAAATTGTCACTCTCTCGACTACCTGGACAGCTTCTCCAAAGAGTTATGCTTCACAAACCAACATGATGCGGAAACGACCTCCGCCGCGTTGATCGCCTCTACAGCTCCAATATTCTGTACTACCGGGCTGATTAAAAGCAGCTTTTATTGACAGTTGTTTGTGGATTCTAACAGTCTTTCCTCCAATCAAAAATGTTTCGATTGAGCCGAGATACATGCATTTGAAAATCAGGGTCGAAAAGCGCAAGAACTTCCTTCACGACCTAATACTTCAGAACTTTGTCTACATCCTACGTGGCCGAATACCTAGCCTTAGGAGAATTGACCCTAGAGAGACTTTTATAAACCGTACAACCAAAGGGTTCTATTCCAACGAGGTTCCAAATAATAAATCTGAGACCGTGGTAATGGCCGCCTTGTGAGACGCTACTGATGACTAGCTGAGCCCTTTATCCGCCAAGGTGGCCAAGAAATTGCACAAGGTTATATGGGAAACGGCTTCTCGATTGGATCTGTGTCAGAGGTACTCGTACCATTTGTTGAAAGAGGAAGCGTACTATCGTCGAGTGCCTGGAGCCTAGCTGGCCGGGAGAGCACTGATTGCCCGTTGATTACACCCAGCAGCGGCCCAGGATCTGGCGAGATCTTTCAGGCTAGCAACTTGAAAATCTTCTGCGACAAAAGAGGGTGCTGTTGCCTGTTTGTCGGTCAGTAAGGACGTTTCTCGCATCTGAGGAGGACTGGCGGTCGCTCTGCGTGCTTCAGGAGAAGAGGAAACCAGGATTGGCTCTTCCATAGTGGAGTCACGAGTATCAACGTTGCGTCGTCTCGGACTGCTTTCCGGAGTACTCGTCCGATTAGATTGAATGGTGGAAAAGTGTATTCGAAGGTCGCCGACCATTTATGCGCGAAAGCTTCTACTTTGGCAGCACCTGGATCAGGATTTAGTGAGAAGTAACTCTTTAATTTATGATTAAGTCTCGAAGCGAACAAATCAACCCCAGACCGGCCGAAATGTGAGAATATCTGCTGCGACAACAGACTATCTGAGGACTACTCAGCTATTTCTCTGACGAACGATCATGACTCGGTGTCAGCTTGTAAGTTTCGTTCGCCGGGTCTATGTGCTGCGAGTAGGCGTATCTTCCTCCCCCGAAACCACGACCATATTTGCTGGGCGAGGTCCGATTCTTTGCTTGTCGTGCCAATTCTACGCTTAATGTAGGAAATTGCTGAGGTGTTATCCAGTTCCAGGAGAACATTTATGTTTTCCACTGATTGCCAAAAGCTTGTAGACCAAAAAACGCTGCTTGTAGCTCTAACACATTAATGTGGCGAGTTGCCTCTTGTTCGGTTCACCTACCGCCTGTACCTCTACCGTCACACACCGCACCCCATCCCACTTTTGAGGCGTCCGTTGTTATAGTGATGTCTGAAGGAATGTGAGTTAAGGGGTAACTGGCGTAAGCATGGAGGTTGTCGCGAAACCATAGCATGTCCGCGATCGTCTCCCCCGTCAATGTTATCAGGTTTTCAAACGATTCACTGATTAGGGGGTCTGCGTTCGTCTTCACCTCGCGCTGTAGACGCCGAGTCATGTAGATGGAACAAGGTGATGCCAAAGCTATGAAATTGACACGTCCAAGGAAGGCCGCGAGCTCTCTCGCTGATATCACTTTTCTTTGAACAATGGACGAGGCTTCTAATCGTAATCAATCTAATTTTTTGAGAGGGATCCTGAATTTACCAAGCCTTGTGTCTGATCAGACCCAGGAATTCCAGCTCTTGAGTAGAGACCAATTGGGATTCAGCGTAATTTATGCAAAGGCCCAAGTTCTCAAATACTTCCCAGTCGTCCAAATAATTGAACACTCTTATTCCGCGCTCTCGAAAGTGCGCCGCAACTACGCGCATTAATTTGTTGTATACATAGGGTGCCGTTGCTAATCCGGAAGGTAGGCAAGTGAACCTAAAGAGTACTTAGTTTCACCAAAATGCGAGGTAGTTCCTGTGACTCGCTGCAAATTAATAGCAAAATACGCGTCTCTCATATCAATCTAGGCAAAAAAAAGTCTTACCTTAAAGGCTACATCTGTCACAGAGTGTAAATTTTCCATCTTGAAATGTGGGATATCAAGGAGGCCTTAAGAGGCTTCAGATTGATCATGGGCCTTGTGATACCATCTTTCTTGGAGATGCCAAACAGTGAGGACACCCAAAATTCCTAGTTTGTCGGAACCCTTTCTATTGCTCCCTTCTCTCTGAGCAGTTGTAGCTCTTTAGAGAGGGCTCTGGGAGTCGCTTGAAGGGAGTGGGTGGGAAATGACAGGCACGGTTTGCGCCCCCGAAGGGAATTCTATATCCTCTTATAGATTCCATAATGAAGGGGTCTCTTGAGAATCCTTCCCATGTCTCTATAAAATCTGCCAACCTACCGGCCATGCGGTTTGAATGCACGCTTGTATCATTTGTGATCGCTGTGCTTGGCCCCTGGGCCCACTGAAAATCAAGGACGGTATCGGAAACACCCCGAAGTGATGAGCTATGCAAAAAAGGATAAGAATGCGCTTACTCGTTCTTCATCTGATGCGGCGGTGTGTGGCCTTTCTCTTTTTTGCGCTGGCTCTCAGTTTCTGGAACGACTTCGTGATTGCTGAGTCTCCTGCAGCTAATTCGTCTCGGAGCTCTTTCCCGAACAGGTCCGGAATCAGAGTCTGGCGCACGTGGTGCACCATATTAGAGCCTGCTAAAGGAAGCCTGCGATACGATGGCATCGCTTTTCTTGGTTCGACTCCCAAGGCTTTGAGAAAACGTTCTCTTCGGAGAACGATAAGGTCCATGAGCGATCCTGATACAAAAGCGTCGAGGATCTCAAAATATCGGATCAATGGGCGGCAAATGCGCCGCCCTGGCCGTCTACGCCAAGCTTCCTGACTAGCCCGGCAATGTTGAGGACAGTGAGTAACGTCTCGTGCAGAGTACGCAGCTCCGGATCTTTGACGAGAATAGCACGATCACTATCTCGAGGCAATTGTTCGTCAATTGCCGGGACCTCTCCAAAAAAAGAAGCGACTAGGGGTTACTTCCTTAGCAGTGAAGATCACTCGGCATTATTTAGCGGCATTCCTGCGGCCAGAGAGTTGAAGCGTTTCCGAGCTCGCTGAAAAACAGAAGCTGCAGTGTCACTAACCGTAAAATATGGCAATAAAAAGAAATTGAGAGTACCCTCAGCCACGGTAATTTACCTCCGTTATAAACACTCTTATACGTGTCTTCTGAGGCACGGCAAGAGCGGGGACCTCGTCCCTAGCTGGACGAAACTCGTGTTTCTTAGGGATACGGCAATGCGGCGGCGGTGGGGCTAGTGGTGATACGTAGTTCTGTCCTCCTTTCCGGTCCGTGCTTCCTTCGCGGGAAGATGGGCCAATCGATCTGGACTGTGAGCGTGATCTTCTGCCCGACCTTCTTGAAGAGGCTGACGAGCTTGAGGACTCTGAGCTCGAGTGGGGGTGCCTGGACATAGAGGACGACCTCGAGCGGCTCATCTGAAACGAGTTGTTTGAACCTGCTATCAAGCTGTTCATAAGAACTCGCAAGTATAGAGGAGCGAAAAACCCAAGTTGCAGCATGGCTAAACAATGAAGAGGGCGATCGCGAGAAGGAAGATGGACCCGGGCTCTTACGTGAGTAACAACCGAAAAGGGTCGAAAGAAGAACCATAGTTGGCGCCTTGGGCGTCAACGGACGATGGTTTTCTAGTGGAGACCGTGAGCATACGCTCACCGAAGCAAACTGGAGGACAACCTTGCCGGGTTGGGCCGCGTTTACTTTTCCGCCAGTTCCTGGCGCCAAAAAAGGTGATCGATAGCGAACCGAGATACAGATACCGGATCGATATCTCGCCTGCACGCAGGCCCAATGATCCGGCAACATCAGGTATGATCATGAATGGTGAGAATATTGAATTGGAGAAGCTCTTTAAGGAAGATCATACCCTCTTTAAGGTCATTTTCGGTGACTTCAACTCCAATGTTGGCCCAAGAAGAACGGCCGAAGAACTTCACATCGGTACTCACGGAATGGAATGGAATGGGCAGGGTGAGAGACTGTCGGAGTTTATCACGTCGACCGACGTTATTCCTGGTAACTTCTTCTTCTTCTTCTTCTCCCTAGCGTTAGTCCCGCGCAGTCGCAGGGTCCGCTGTCTTTGTCAGCCGTCGCCACTTTAGTCTGTCCAGGGCGTCCTCCGCTGTGGCCATGACTTCACTTAGATCCTTCTTGATCAAGTCTCCACCTCTTCTTTGGGGCTCCTCGCGGTCGCTTGCCTTGTACTTCGGAGTCCATTGCTGTTCTTATCGGATGATCCCGTGGCCTCCTTAGCAAATGCCCATACCATCGTAGACGCTGTTCCCGTACCTTCAGCTGGACAGGGGCAGTCTGCATGACCGCTCTGACATCTTCGTTTCTAACTCTGTCCAGCCGCGTCCAGCCGCAGGCCCACCTCAGCACCCTCATCTCAGCGGAGTGCAGCTGCCTTTCGTGGTTCTTGTTCAGAGGCCAGCACTCGCTGCCGTATAGCATCGTAGGCCTGACTACCGTTCGGTACACCTTCCCTTTGAGCGTTCTGGAGCATCTTCGATCACAGAGGATTCCACTGGACTCCCTCCATTTCATCCATGCTGTGTGGACCCAAGCCTTCACCGCCTGATCGCACACTGCCATCAGCTGCCAGATCGCTCCCAAGGTAGCGGAAGTCCCCCACTCTTTCGAGGGTCTCACCGTGGCCGTCTACGATCGGCTCTGCACCCTCTTCGGAGCTTAGGAACTTGGGCCTTTTGACATTCAGTCGTAGCTCGCCTTCTGCCAGGAACTTCTGCCATTGCTGCCCTTGGACTGTAGCTCCTCTCTACTATCCGCTATCAGGGCGATGTCGTCAGCGTAGAGGATGGTCTTTAGTGGTCCTTCCATGAGGCCCTTCACCATGGTATCGAGCGTTAGGAGGAACAGGAAGGGACTTAGAGCTGACCCTTGATGCACCCCAACCGTGATGTTTATCTCCTTTGTTAGTCCGTGAGGGGTGCGTATCTCTGCTTTGGCTCCTTCGTACATGTCCTTCACCAGGGAGATCAGGTGTTCTGGCACGTTTCGTTCCCTGAGCGACCTCCACAGCACTGCTCGCGGTAGCCTGTTGAACGCCTTCTCGAGGTCGAGGAAGGCTAGGTAGCAGGGTCGGCGTTTTTCTCGATACTTCTCCATCACTTGCCTTGCGATGAAGATGGCATCCGTTGTAGACCTTTCGGGCATGAACCCGAACTGCTCCTGGGAGATCGCGACCAGCTCCAGCAATTTCGAGTCGACCAGTCGCTCGTACAGCTTCATTGTATGAGCAGTCAACTTGATCCCGCGGTAGTTAGAGCAGTCCATTGCGTCGCCCTTCTGTTTGAAGATAGGGACGGTGGTACATGTCCTCCATGCATCCGGCATCTTTCCTTCCACTGTTACCTTGTTCATGAAGCTAGTGAGCCACCTTATGCCGTACTCTCCGAGCGCCTTCCATGCCTCGATTAGCACCCCATCTGGGCCAACCGCCTTTCCAACCTTCATCCTCCCAAGTGCACACCTAACCTCATCCTTAGTCCAGAGTGCGATGGGACCAGCTGTGGCCTCTATCTGTGAGTCGTTCTTGTGGGGGAACTCCTCGTTCAAAAGCCCCGTGAAGTACTCTTCCCACCTGCTCTTGACTTCGGTTGGCTTTCTTAGGATGACACCATCGCTGCCTTTTACACTTTTCACCACCCTGATGTCTTTAGTACCGCGATGGCGGGCCTTAGCCAGCCTGAAGACGAACTTTTCCGCGTTTCTGCTTTCCAACTTCTCGTACAAGGCGTCCATTTCCGTGTTCTTCGCCTTGGCGACAGCAGCCTTAGCGAGCCTCTTGCAACTCCTGTAGGTGGCGAGGTCTTCGGGGCTCCGGGTCTTCTGCCAGCGCTTGTATACTTCCTTCTTCTGCTTCACGACTCGCTGGACCTCCTCGTTCCAGAACCACGCTGCCTTGTCTCCTCTAAATCCACCTCCCGTCTCGCCCAGGACCTCCTTCGCACATCGCAGGATGGTATCAGCCACGCTGCTCCAAGTCCGCTGTATTGGTCCGTTTGGATCTGGGAAACCGACTTCCATTATCTTTCGCCTGAGGTCATCCTTCTCCGCTTGGTGCAGCCTCCACCACCGATTCTCCTTTCGGTTCTTACCCTTGTCTTCTTGGAAGGTCTATCGCAATGTCTGCCAGGAGGGGCCTGTGCTGGGGAGCCAGATTTTCGCCGGATAGAACTTTGATATCCTTCACAGTTTTGAGGGTTGATCTTCTTACCAGCAAATGGTCGCTTTCCGTCTGTCTCCCTCCGCTGCTGTAGGTTACCTTCTGAGTCTTCCTTTTCGCGAAAAACGTGCTGCAGATCGTCAGATCGTGGGCTGTAGCCAGGTCCAGAACCCTCTCTCCCTCAGCGTTCCTCGTTTCTATCCCTCTACCTCCGTGCACTCTTTCTGAGCCTCTTCTGTCACTACCGATGTGACCATTCAGGTCACCTGCCACGGTCAGGTAATCATCTTCCGGAACCGATCTTATGGCTTCGTCCAGGCTCAGATAGAACTCGTCCTTATCACTTTCGGGGCACCCGGCTTGCGGTGCGTTCACGGAGAGTATGGTCCAGTACCCCTCCTTTGCGTCTATCCTCACAGCCATGATCCGATCGCTGATCCTGATCACAGCGGAGACATAGTCCTTGAGTGACTCCGCTACCGCTATGGCCACGCCGTTCCGCTTAGTGTCTTCTCCATTGTAGTAGAGCTTGACACCTTCCCCGATTTCTCTGGTCTTGGCGCCTTTCCATCGCGTCTCCTGAAGGCACAGGACTTGGATATTCCTGCGCGTCATCAAATCAGCAACCTCTCGGGACTTCCCAGTTAGCGATCCTACGTTCAGACTCCCAATTCGAAGTAGCTTCTTTAGCCGAAGAGATTCACTCCTCGGTAGCCCTCGCATACTGACCACAGAACTCGGGCGGGGGTTCTGCGGGTGTCCTAGCTTTATCACTGGTTCCTTTTTCGACTTTAGACATGT